GTATTGACAATGCTTTGATCCGCCGAGTACTGGTCGATACCGGGAGCAGTGTGAATGTATTGTATCTACAATCATTCGAAAAAATGGGTCTACAGAGAAGTCAACTGACCCACCTACGGACCCCACTGGCAAGTTTCACCGGTAATTGCATTGAGGCTGAGGGGACCATCCAATTGATGGTTGAAATTGGGGATGAAACACACAAAGCGTCACTCTGAATGACGTTCGTGATGGTGGATATAAAGTGTGCCCACAATGCCATATTGGGCCGACCGGGATTGGAAGATCTGGAGGCAATAGCCTCTGTCCGCCACTCATGCATCAAATTCCCTACAGACACTGGGGTTGGGGTGGCCAGAACTGATCCGACGACAGCCCGGACATGTTATCGAGAGGCCCTGAAGAAGATGAACACTCGTGGGATGCGGGTTAATACAATTGAGGTGGAAACCCACCGAACGGAGTTCGAGGCACACCCAGAACCTGCCACTCTTCTTGAATAAATCGACCTGGATTCCCCCCGAACCGTAAGGTAGCTATCGGGGTAGATCTGGAGGCTGACATCCGGGATGGCGTGATTGCCATCTTAAAAAAGTTTCAGGTATTGTTTGCCCGGGGGCCAGAAGATATGCCCGGTATTGATCCGGAGATAATATGTCACAAACTTGCCGTTCGGCCTGATGCAAAACCAGTCCAGCAGAAGAAACGATATCAGGCAACCGGACGGTGGGAATTCACAAAGCGGGAGGTGGCCACCTTGCTGAAAATAAAGCACATCCGTCCAGTAATCCACGTAGAATGGCTATCAAATGTGGTTCTGGCCCCAAAACAATCTACTTGGAGAATGTGCGTGGATTACTCGGACCTGAATAAAGCTTGCCCCATGGATCCCTATCCAGTGCCGAGGATCGATCTGCTAGTAGATGAAACTGCCGGATGTGAATTGCTGAGCTTCATGGATGCTTTCCGGGGTTACCATCAGATATTCATGCACCCGGCTGATGCAGAGAAAACGACGTTCGTTACTTCGGATGGTGTGTTTTGCTATATCGTCATGCCATTCGGATTAAAGAACGCAATGGCAACTTTTCAAAGGATGATTGGGATGATGTTCAAAGAAGTGATGGGGGTCACAATGGAAGCTTATGTTGATGACATCCTGATCAAAAGCAGGAAGAAGGAAAACCATGTCCTGGACATAGAAAAGGTGTTCGGGATAATGCAGAAAGCAAATATGAGGCTGAATCCCAAAAAATGTGCTTTTGCTGTAAGAGGGGGCAAATTTTTGGGATACATGATGAGCGAGAAGGGGATTGAGCCCAATCCTGAAAAAGTAAAGGCAATTGTGGATATGGAGGCTCCAAGAAATCTCAAAGAAGTGCAGAGATTGACCGGTCGGTTAGCAGCCCTGAGCAGATTCCTATCCAAACTGGCCGATCGAGCTATTCCGTTCTTCCAGATCATGAAGAAAGCCAACCCCTTTGAATGGACGGCTGAATGCCAAACGGCCTTTGAAGATTTCAAGACGTATCTGTCTTCCCCCTGGTCTTGATAAAACCCGAACCAGGGGAACATCTGTATATGTACCTTGCTGTAGTTGACTTGGCTGTGAGCACAGTACTGTTGAAAGAAGAAGATGGCGTTCAACGGCCAATCTATTTTGTAAGCAAGACTTTGAACGGCCCGGAAACCAGGTACACCTTGCTAGAGAAAACTGTACTGGCCCTGATAGCTGCCATTAAACGTCTGGCACCATATTTCCAGACCCACCCGGTAACTGTGTATACTACTCAGCCACTAGCCACCATCTTGAGAAATCCTATGGCAAGTGGACACATTACCAAGTGGAGCCTCCTGATCGGGCAATATGAGGTGGATTTCAAGCCTCGGCCTACTATCAAAGGACAGGCCCTGGCAGATTTCATTGCAGAATGTACCGCCCGGCCCTCAGAAACAGACTCAGAGAACAATGGGTTGAATAACTGGTGGGAAATGTATGTGGATGGAGCAGCTAGTGCCAAGGGTTGTGGAACTGGAGCTGTGATCACATCGCCCGAGGGTTTCAAAGCATATTATTCCACCCACTTTGACTTCAAGGTAACCAGCAATGAGGCTGAATATGAGGCCCTCATTGCTGGTTTAAAATATGCAAAGGCCCTGGGTGCCGATCGGTTGAAAGTCCGATCGGATAGTCAATTGGTGGCACATCAAGTAAACGGCACTGCTGAGGCTAAAGAAGAGAGAATGAAGGCCTACAAGGAGATAGTTGAGGAGCAGATAAGTAAATTTGAACAGGTGGTGCTCGACCAAATATCCAGGATTGAAAATACTGAAGCAGATATCCTATCCAAGTTAGAAAATGCAGCGTTCGACGATCGGGCACAGGAGATCCCCGCTCTTATCCAACGTTTTGCCCATCGGGAAACATTGGCGACCCCAGCAATCATGGTGCTCCAGATCGAGGCCATATCTTATGCCATCCCTAGCTGGGTCATAGATATGACCAACTACCTGAAAGACGGAACCCTCCCACAAGATAAAAATCCTGCCTATCAGATAAAATGCATCCAGAGGAGGGCTTCCATGTTCGAATTGGTAGACTGGCAGCTGTACAAAAAGACATTTGGTGGGCCGTATCTGAAATGCCTCCCACCCGATCTAGCGGCGGCTGTAATGGAAGAAATTCATGAAGGTATCTGTTCCAGCCACCAAGGGCCCAAGACACTGGCCAGAAAAATCATCCTACAAGGGTATTATTGGCCGACTATCCAACAGGACTGCTTTGCACATACTAGGAAATGTAAGGTATGCCAACTGCACGCACCGGTCCCCGGACGGCCTGCCACTTTCTACACTCCAATGACAATGGCCCTTCCGTTCGCAAGATGGGGGATAGACCTGTTAGGTCCTCTACCTACGGCCCCTGGAAACAACAAGTATATCATCGTGGGGATAGATTACTTTACCAAATGGGTAGAGGCCGAGCCACTGGCCAGCATCACAGATGTTAAGTGTCAAAAGTTTGTCTGGAAGAATATCATTTGTCGTTTCGGAATTCCTGAGCAGATTGTGACTGATAATGGAAGGCAGTTCGTGAGCCGGAATTTTGAGAACTACCTGGTCAAATGGGGAATCAAGCATTCCAGAGCATCCGTGGCGTACCCTCAGGCGAATGGCCAAGTAGAGAATATGAACCGTACTATCATGGATGGTATGAAGAAGAAGCTGGAAAAATACTCCTCATCGTGGCCTGACCAGTTAAATTATATTATATGGACTTACAGGACCACACCCCGAACGGCCACGGGAGAAACTCCATTTGCCCTCGCCTATGGTTTCCAGGCCAAAGTACCAACGAAAATCCTAGTTCCCACACACCGAACGGTGCATTACAGCCCAGAACAGAATGAGGACAACTTACGGGCCGAATTGCATTTCATAGAAGAAAGAAGGGATCTGGCAGCTGCACGAATGGAAGAGTATCACAGAGCCACAAGAAGATATTTTGATAAGCAAGTTAAAGTTCGTTCAATCGAGGTAGGGGACCTGGTGCTAAGGAAGCGAGAAAAAAGCAAACCTCTCGAAGGTGGAAAAATGGCACAAAATTGGGAAGGCCCCTACCAAATATGTAAGAAGTATGCTTCAAGAACATTTGGCGTACAAAATACCGAAGGTCGACCGGCAGGTACTTGGAATGTGGAACATCTACGGAAATTTTATCAGTAAAAACGGCTGTTGCCACCTCTAACAAAATGTATAGAGAGGGAGACATAACTTCCACATAAACACAATCCATGATTAGCACGATCATTCTGGATGACCGAATGAGGAACAGGTTAACAACATGGAAGGAAAATCAATTCTCAGCTAAGGGAGTTTTTGACCCTAGATTTATGAACGAATAAAGGGATCAAAAACGGCTTGAAGAATTGAGGCTCAGAAAATCGGTGCCCGTGGTTAACACGATCATTCCGGATGACCGAATGACGAACGAGTTAACAACATGGAAGGAAAGTCATTCTCAGCCAACGGCTTGGAGTTTGACACTCAGATAGTCTCACCTCAGCGGTTAATATGAGAATCGTTCTGGAGAACCGAATGAACGAACATATTAGCAGTTTGGAGGGAGCCATTATTTCAGCAAGAGTTTTGACCATGTAATTACGCATTGATGAAGAGATCAAAATGGCCTGGAGTTCGAGGACAGTGATTCTCACCTCAGCTTTTTAACACGCAAAATCATTCCGGATGACCGAATGACGAACGGGTTAATAGTTTGGAGGGAGCTGAGTCGTCAACTTGGCCAAAGTCGACCCTGTAATTACGTACGGGCAAAGGGATCAAAACGGCTTGGAGATGGTGTCAAGACTGTAAGATATGGATTGACCGAGCGACGTTCGGATAAGGTACGGATTGTCGCCCGGGGAATCGGAACTATGGTTTTGAAAAATCTCGCCTCAGTCATTAACTTGATTCGGAAGCGAGTCGCCCTTTTAGCTATAAGTAAGGAATGACCCAATCCGGTGACCCTGCTTACAGTTCGAAAAGGGTTACCTCAGACCCCTAATATGGATGATACGAGCCAGAGAGAATAGTTCGGAATGCATCGGAATTATGGGTTTGGAAGGGAGATAGTCTCACCTCAGCTTGTTAACACGTGGGATCATTCCGGATGACCGAATGACGAACGGGTTAACAGTTTGGAGGGAGCCCCTGTCCCAGCTGAGAGTTTGACCCTGTGGTCACGATCAAAACGGCTTGGAGGAATTCACCTCAGCTAAGAGTTTTGAACCCGTGCGTCACGAACGGAAAAGGGATCAAAACGGGCTCGGGAAAGGTGTCAGAACAATTTTGAAGAGATAACCTCACCTCAGCTTGTTAACACGTGAGATCATTCCGGATGACCAAATGACGAACGGGTGAACAGTTTGGAGGGAGCCCCTGTCCCAGCTGAGAGTTTGACCCTGTGGTCACGATCAAAACGTTTTGGAGGTATTCACCTCAGCTAAGAGTTTTGACCCCGTGGATCACGAACGGAAAATGGATCAAAACGGGCTCGGGAAAGGTGTCAGACATAAAGATACATGAGTCGAGTGATGTTCGGCCACATAGAAAGGATTGTGAACAAGAAAAATCAAAGGAAAAATAGAGGAAAGACATCAACAGATAAAGAGAAAAGTCCAGTTTATTCTTCGGCATTACTAGCCGGGATATACAAGAAAAACAAAGGACAAAAAAGCAAAAATTACAAGGCTATGCTACTGGAGGATTGCCGTTCGGGGAGGATGGAGGTTGAGAGCTCCCTGCCTGCACTGCATCATCAGGCGCTGCTTTGGACCTTCTCTCCATAATACGGTCATATGTGTTCCCGAACAGATCGTCAAAGCCTAATTCGTCAGGGTCGAACGGCTTGGGGAAATGCTCTAGGATCAAACCGAGGTTCCTATCCAGAAGCAGGTCCTGACTTTGCTTCACAGTTTTCTCGGTCAGGTCATCCAGGAAAGATTTCCCTTCCGGTGTGCTGTCCAGGAGATCGATCCCTGCCTTGATGGGATCTTCGCTTTCGCGTAAGAATTGGCCAAGGTGAGGTCCCAGGAACTGCCGGGCCGTGTTCTCCAGAGCGACGTTCAGCCCCTTGCCCCGTTGAAAATCAACAATCGATTGATGTGCAATTTGGGAAGTGTTGACCGTATATGGTTCGGGCAAATGGTCACCAACGGCTTTGTCAAATTTGATCCCAACAGATTCAGCAGCTCGCACCTTGGCCCGGAGTTCTTTAATCTCCCGGTCGCGACGTCGGGATTTTTCCTGCATCTCAGCCAGAGCGGCTTTTGCCTTCTCACCCTCCTTGGCCTGCTCTTGAAGATCGACCGCTAACTTCCGAGCGGCAGAAAGAAGGATCTGGCTGTCATCCCGATCGCTGGCCAGGGCCTTCATTTCCTTTTCGGCCGCAAGAAAGGCCTTGTGATGGTATACACCGGCCTGAAAACGAGATTGCAAAAGAAATCAGATAAGATAAAACCAATGAAGAATAGAAAGGTATGGATCAGAATGAGGTGTACCTTGAGTGCTTCCTGGTGACCTGCTTCAAAAAGGTCCGACCAGTGGGTCAAGTTCGTGAAGCTCGGGGGAACCTTGATCGCGGTATGACACCACATGGAAGATGGCATCAACCCGAACAGATACCTCCCTTCTGATCTGGGCCCCATGTTCGAAAATTCGACAAACATCCGATCATCGATCGGTGCGTCAGAGAGAGCCGGAGTTGTCATTTTGGCAGGCGCAGATTTTTTGGGTTCACCCTCCGACCCGGTCAAATCAACCACATGGTCGATCGAGATCAATTGATTGCCATCATTCCCCTTGCTTTTCTTCCGGTTTTGCTCCGCAGAGGCATGATCGGCTATCATTTTCTCCTTGCCTTTGCCGGAAGAAGCCGTCAGAGTAGCGGAAGAGATAGAACGCCGGACGGGTATGAGAGATATCACACCTGCAAAAAAGGGGGAATAAGAGACAAAGCTAAATTGAAAGAAGGAAGGACGATCGGGTTAAAATCGTGCTACGCTTACCAATTCCGGCAGATAACATGCTTGAAGTAGTGACAAAACTCCGGAGACAAGTTACAAGTTACATCATCGTATACTCCAGTTACAAGTTATTATGTGTGAGTTACATCTTGTTAAAATTAATTTGATAAAATTACATAAGCAATATTGGTCTCATTTGATAGATCATGAAAAATAAAAATTTTTGATATAAAATTTATAAAAATCGGATATCAAATAAAATAGTTATTACAATTTTTAACAATAAAAGAAAACTCCCTCCGTCCCGGTCATGTCTTCCGGTTTTGACAGGTATCGCAAATTTAGGTAGTGAGAATAAAGTGAAAATGTATGGTTGTAGTTGTGTAAAAAAAGGTGAATGAATGTGAACCACATATTTTTCCCAAAAGTGGAAATTGGAAGAATTAATTGGAACGATCCAAAAAGGAAAGTTAGAAGAAATGACCGGGACGAAAGGAGTAAAAAATAATGGCCTGCGTTGCAGTTCATAAAACGTAAACACCCCCGCCCATATATTCCCGCCTATCTGCAAAGAAACACTAAAAATGTCTATGGCCGCCACGGTAGAGAGGTCCCTGTTCAAATATAAAGAAAGCGGCACCACCTCTTCCACCGCCGTAACCACTATAGTGAAGCACCGATTCCTAGGGTTCCTCATCTGGCAAGCTGTCCAAACCACCGCGCTCCTTTTCTTAAAAAGTATACTCTTTTCTCCCTTTCTAAGAAACCCTCTGAAGCCCTCATTTACAGCCTCATTCGCTTTCATTGCCTTCCACGTCTCTCTCATACTCTTCGCTTCTTCTGTCTTCCTTCTCTCAACTCCTCACCCCCTTCGTGCCGCTTCTCCACTTGAGCTGCTGCTCAGTTCAGCGCGGATTGTATTTGTCCCGAATTCTAGCTCTCAGCCGCTTCTGTCCCCTGACTTCCGTTATCGCGCCAGGGTTTCACTTTGCTTTGTTCTGTTCGTAGGGATTTGTGGCCTCTCTGCGGTTGTGTCCATTGTCTCAGTTTGTTGGAGTGCTGGTGCGTTTAGTCAATTGTGGCCGTGGAAAGTGATTATCTTGAATCTAGGGTTTAGGAGTTTTGGGATTGGGTTGTTCTATGGAATTCACTACGTTCAAAAGAGGAGATGGATTCTGCAGTTTCCTATTGTTCAGGTAAGTTAGTTAATGTCCACATTGAATTTATTTGAATGAATTCTTATCTAGGAGTGAATATTGAGATGCAATGTGCTACCTTTGTCTCTGTGACTTTCTAAAAAGTATGTGGCAAATAATTTAGGGCTTGTGCTCTGTTTAATTAGACTGCTAACTTATTTTCTCATGCTCTTTAACTTGAGCTTTTATGATGCTTGCTTAGTTTGAATATGATTGTTGTGGATAAATACATATTTTGCTCTTCTTTTGTTTTTGATCTTTTGTTCTTTTGGCATATCCGTTGAAGTGAGAGGATTGATTAATAATCTGGAATGTATAAGTGATTGGGGGGTTGAATTTTGAACAATTAGACATATTATGTGTTTAAAAGTTAACATCCATCTTGACTTCTGTTGTTTCTGACCTTCAAAATATGGCTGCCTGCCTGCCTCTGGCATTGGGGATTAGTTGTAAGCATTTAACGCAGTTTATGCTATCAGAAATGCACGTGCTTCACTGATCCACTGTTTTAGAAGTTTATTCAATTTTGTAAAAATTATGACTTGCTTTCTGTGAAGATGCTAAAGCAGTTGTTTGTCATATGGCCCTGTTTGTTTTATGGGTTTACCTACCAACTAGTGTGAAACAATGCTCCTCTTTTAGTCGCTTACATTGTTCATACGATGGCTTGCTGGATCTCTTCCCCTCATATATGACCTAATAGAAATTCATGATATTGCAGCGCCCTTCTTTCTTCAGCTTTAAGATGGGTATTCCATCAGCCATCACACGTGCTTTAAAACTCACAACATTAGGTTTCTTAATGTCATCTTTTCTCTCATTTGGTTACCCGGACGAGCTCAGGGGACAATTGACAGTGATGAAGCTCATTACTGATCAGATTTTACTCTACATCGGAACTTTTATGCTGTTTCTATGCTGGGAGTTATGCCATCATTTACATCAGGTTAGCCATTTATTTACATGATCACTTGTGACACATTCTTACAAAATTTGTAACATATCTTACATGGATTAGTTTCCTATGAATTAGATATTGTTTGAACAGAAAAATGTGAAAACAGAAATGTTCTGACACAGCAATGAAAATAGGTTCTGCAAACAAAACGGTTTATATTTTCACACCCAAAAGGTTCTGCGGCAGCTGAAACGAATCCAAGTGAGCCACTTCTTCTCACGTTGGAAGAGAGCATGCCAAGGTCCCTTTTGCAGTATCTAGCATATAATGACCTTTGCATGGTTTGTGAGAGTAATGTTGATTCTTGGCGCCGAGCTGCATTTTTTGAAGAAACTGGTGAGACTTACAAAAGGGTAGTGGATGTATGCTTGAAACCTTTGGAGAAGTTCATAAGAAGCTTAGGTGAAGTGTTAGATAGCCCATCTGTGGAATCCTCTTTCCAACTTTCTAATCAACTAAGGCCACCTTCAGAACTATTAGCAGACTCAAAACTCCACGAGTCATTTGACGACATCCAGGTAATCTAACTAATAAGCTATCATATGTTTTGTTTTGTTTTGTTTAGTTTGAGAGCCGCTTGCAATTCAACTGCTTCAACCCTAGGAATCGACACTATAATTGCTTTCTGCTGTCCTATTACTCTACCTTTCTCTTCTGTGAATTTGTGTAAACATAGAAAATGTCATTAGGAGGCATCTTAGGAAACTATGGTGAAAACGAAAACGGCAAATAGCCTATCAGGTAGCACCCTAAGAATTAGTTTTTTAGACTTTTTTTTTGTAAAAAGCACTAATTTAGTTATTTCACAATATTTAGATTTATGAGGTGTACTTGAACGATTGAAGGAGTCTGACAAGGCACACTTCAAAGGGAGTAAATGAGTAATATGAAACTATTATACACACATATATCATGTATGTATGTACGTAAATGTATGTATATATGGAGTAATATACACACAAATATATAGTGTATGTATGTATATATGGAGTAACATTCATGTCAAATGGGATTAATATTTTGCTATAAACTGATTTCAATGGTCATTTTTGGTTCGTTAGCATCAATTATAAATTTTAACTATTAGATCTTGGATTTGTTTGAAGGTAGACCAACAAACTCGTTTTCTCACATCCAAAACTTATCTTAACGGTTAAGATGAATTCATAATTAATTTTTTAGATGATCTGATGGTTGAAAGTAACAATTGTCACTAATGAACAAAAATGGTTCATTGAATTCAATTTTGGCCAAAAATGAATCCTGCTGCACATGAATGTTACTCTGTAGACTGTATATATGTATGTATGTATGTATGTGTGTGTATATATATATATATGTGTGTGTGTGTGTGTGTGTGTGTAAAAATTAAGTATATTATGCATCTCTATATGGTTGTGTATGAGAAATCCATTAAACTGAAGTAAAGTTTAGGATCCTATTTTCTTTCCATTAAACTGAATGTTACTCTGTAGACTGCCGCACATTGTTTTCTTTCCAAAATATGATTCATCCACTCCTAAAAGATTCTTTTATATGTTTTTTATTCTTTTATCAAGGCTAAATAACTCCTATTTTGAGCATTTTCTTTACACCCACATTTTTGGAGAACTAAAAATCAGAGAACATCATATCGTATAACAACATCACAATTGATGTCTCTCAAGTCTCATCGGGCATGAAACTAGTATAACAACATCACAATTGATAAACTCTACAGAACCACCATTTAGCAGCCGGAATATGTGTAGGAGTTAAAGTGCAATGGAGGCTTGATATTGCATTACTCACCATCCCTTGTTTTGTTCATTGAATCACTTCAAAAGAGATCTAGTAAGATGTTCATGAGCAAGTTGCCACTTGCCAGTGCCTGACTAATAGTCCCTTCGGACATGGGTGCTTTAGGATCCATAGTGTTACAATGTTACTAGCAACTTTACCAGCTATATCATCACCATCTGCCTCAAGAATAATTCAGCCATCAACAATTTTGTCAAGGCACCAAAGAATAAGATCTAAATTCTCTAGTGCCTCTCTCTTACCAACGCCACCCCTTAGAAGAATAGAAACTTTATCGAAGAGTGCATGAAGATCTGTAGCTAGTATGAGCTCTATGACTCTATCTCGTCTTCACCCCTATTGACAAAGAAATGAAGGTCTTGAATGAATATGTAAACAACAATGTTGTTTTCAACTTTGTTATTTCAGCTTATGTCCTCGCATTTATCTTTTGACTTCCTCAAATGAAATGAAGGTCTTGTATTATGTGGAACTAATTGTGCATTTGGTGAAATTGAAATGTGCATTAGATGATATTGAAATGTGCAGAATAATTTTTTTAACTAAAGTGTGCATTAAATTAAACTGGAATGTGCGGAATAAAAGGTACAAAAATAACATCACATTGTACCTTTTATTTTGCACATTTCAGTTTCACCTAGTGCACATTTCAATTTCACATAATGCACAATTCAACTTCACATAATGCTATTGTATCGTACCCAAGGTAGTCAAAGTCGTGAGGCACACTCACTACGACGGAGTACTCCTATCGCCTGAGGCGCAAGGCGCAAAAAAGCGCTCGCCTGACTCATGTAAGGTGCATTACTTAG